GTTCTGTGTTTGTGTACAGGTAGAGGCCTTGCGACGAGCTGATCACACGCCCAAGGAGTCCTACCGTATGTCTAAGATCTAGAAAAACCGAAGTGAACGGAGAAGTTCATGGAGGTAGGCCTAGGCCCACTGGGGCTGTAGTGCCAAGGGGAAACAAAATGTTTGTAGATATTGAAAAGTATAAATCATATGAGCTCAATGACCCAGTTTGCAGTTGTTTTGACATTTGTATTAGAACCGGGGACCCACTTTAAGAATACTTTTCTTGTTTGTCAAAGTCTTCTGGCAAACGGATACATCAGTAGATTAATGTGCCCAAGTTACAGTTAAATTGTATTGAGTATGTAAACAGTAAGACTTGAGCTTATGGGCCTAGTTTTTAAGAAAGGTGGAGAGCCTATTATTACAATATTCAGCGAGCATTGCGCTAGCTTGGGGAGCTGGGATAGCTCAGTCGGTATAGTGGCGGGCTACGGACTGGACGGCCGATGTTCTTTTCCTGGCAGAGGCAACACATTTTTCTCTACTCCACAGCGTGCAGACCGACCGTGGGAATCACCCAGCCTCATATCCAATGGGTACGAGGGCTCTTCCCCGGAAGGTAAAGCGGCCAGGTCATGAAGCTGACCACTCACCTCCATCTAGTGCCGAGGTCAAGAATGGTGGAGCTATAAGTCCGCTCCCCCATACATCTTCATGGCGTGGTCCATAATTAATTAAGCACAGGGACGACTTTGCCTTTTCATCACGCTAGCTGGCATCTGCCTGTGAAAGAGCCAGTAGTTAAACGTGAAGGACTTTGCAGAATAGCCCGGTGTGAGACCCGGATCCGAACTCAGTAGCCCTATGTATCGAATACAGGTTCGACCGATTTTGCTGAGTTAACCTGTTCGATACAGAATGTAGCTGGACTCGTTATTAATCTCTGTAAAAGATGCGTGCCTTCAGAACCGCGTGTTCGCCTCACCTACTAAAGCAGACACGGTGCCCTAGATCGTATTGGTTTTCTGCGCGGAATTTAATCAAGCCCAGCCAGTACCCGATAACCTGTACAGATAAATGCTTGCATACGAGTGCACTATCTTGCGTGATTCCGATGTTCAAACTTTTGCGTTGTGTACAATTTACAACCCAATTTTATTTTTACATTAACAGAAGAGACATTACTGTAATATCAAGTAAAGAGGTCCTGGAAATAATTTTTTTTGCATAATTTCCTGCAAATGTTTCCACATGAAAGCTGTGATCAGCGGGAAATATTTAACAAGTAATGTAGTGTCAGTTGAACATTTAATGGAAACTCGCATTTTTTGCATAAATTGTATTGGTATTCTCTGTAAAATCGCTGTTTTGTTACGTCAAGTTTTAAAGGCTAACATTTAGGGGAGACCCAATAATGGGCTTGTATGTATTCAGAAAGTAATCATGACTTATAGCGCTCTCACACGTGAGCTTGACGCATAAAGACACAAACACACACACACATATATATGAGTGACGATAGACGGTGTTTGGATTGGTAATTGGATTTGTGGAACACTTACTGATCGTAACTACAAGTAACAACAGAGCTATCGTTAATTCACACACACTGCAATTCACTAGAGCACTCGCTAAGTCTTTTCAATCTGCTGTGTTTTCACCAGTCGTTGCCTGAACGGCTTCAACGGTGTACGTTCCCCATGCTCTGGATTCCCGAACTATCCCGTGCCTCAGATACCAGCTTCTAACAGCAGCAGCTCACAACGACCGAACTGCAGCAGTGCTCTAACTGGTTGCTCATCAAACTACTCGCTTCACTCAACTGTATTCATCTGCACTGCACTCACTAACTGAAGTGAACTCGGTCGGTCGAATCATCTTGACTCGGAACGGACGTACAGAGAACACCGCTTGAAACATGTCTTATATCGTTGCTTGACGTCAACAAGGACGTGACGTGTACCTACGTTGCGTGTGTACGGGCCATTACCTAGCAACGGAACTACATGCTATAATATTGTTTCATATAGACTGTTGCTAGGCAACGACCGCGAAATAAGCAGTCATATAACAGCCGTTATTAAGTAACTTGGCGTGTTTTAAGCCACTGCATTTACTTTAGAACTGAGCAAACCACGAAAACATGTCAGAACAGCCGGGCCCTTGTCGAGATTCCATCCCAAGACCTCCGGAATAAGCAGCGGGTGTTCAGTCCGCTCCGCGAGGAGTAGGTAATACGGTGTCCGCTAAGCGCCGGTAATGCAGGAAACGCTTTTGTGCAGACCAGACGGGGAAGAATGTTCGCTACAGGTTTTTACTGGCTGACTCATTGCTCGTTGCACTGCCCTTGCATCGACCGGTAGCGATTCTGCTTGGCATGACAAGACCACTGGCTGACTAACTGAATGATGAAGTACTAACCCACACACTGAATGACAATTATAGCTCGGCAAAGCAAAATACTCTCTTGGTGAGATTTACAGCTATCGAATATAATACAGTGTTTACTTATGAGTAGTCACTTCCACAGCCAATACAGCATGACTTCTCGATAGTGAAACATCGTGTCTGCAACTAAGCATTGCGTGTAATTTATAGCCACGCGACATCTTGTGAAGAGGGCAAGAAAGATGGTCTTACAATTTCTGTAAGCAAATAGTTTTGAAGTTAAATATTAATGCTCACATTCGAAAGTAACGCAGTTCTGTGATTTATTTATCGATTTTATCGCCGTCATTCCGGGTCAACACGACGCTATATAAGGGCGAGGCCACACTAAGGAAACTGGCAACCGCAACGCAACCGCAACTTCCGAGAATTGTTATCAGCCTGAGTTGAACACATGTTACTGAATGGAGCAGCTGCATTGCCGTTTCCTCAATTTGCGCTGCTCAATTCAGTAACATGTGTTCAACTCAGGCTGATAACAGTTGTCGGAAATTGCGGTTGCGTTTCCAGTTTCCTTGGTGTGCCCTCGCCCAAACTGAACAGACAAACAACTAAGTGAGCTAACCGAACTGCAGGTAAATAAGCTGTCAAGTAGCTAACTCAGTAGACCACACGAAACAAAATATGCCCTTTAGTTTATTTTCGTATTACAGCAGACAGTTTGGTATTTCTTCAGTTTCCATAATGGGGTGAAACTGAGTCCACTTGGTACGTCGGCCACTAATTGGCCTGTTTTACCAGCTCCGGATGGTAGATGATGAGTGTGGAGCAGTCGCGCGGAATGAGAATTGGCAGGGGAAACTGAAGTACTCGGAGAAAACCTGCCCCAGCGCCACTTTGTCCACCAAAAATCCCACATGCCCTGACCTGGGCTCGAACTCGGGCCGCCGCAGTGGGAAGCTAGCGACTAACCTCTTGAGCTATGGCGCAGCCGAATCCGTTAAATACTTTAATCCCTGCTGTATGAATCTGATAGTTTCATCACTGGCTCAAAATCTTGACAGTTGATTCTCTCCCGTTATGCTGTATTATAATCCATCACCGAATTCTCATAATCTATTAGCTTATTTAGAGAGGGTGGGTTTCCCCATGCACCGCGACCAGTTTGATCTATTGTGCTTCCCTCTACGATATTCTACCAGTCTCTTTACCCTACCGATAAATGGTGCGTACCATCAGTCCTGCCGAGCAAGCGAGTTCGGCCACTTGCTTAGCGGTGTCTATAATGCTTACCCCATCTATCGGAGGCCTTAGAGGCTATTGTTGGGCGGGAAACGTCCTGGAATTTGGCTCAGTGATCCCCTTTGGGGATATGAGGTTCTTTTACGTGCCGTAAAGTTACGAC